AGAGCTCAAGGGGATGAGTTTTTTGAACACACCCTCATCTCCCCTGTCAACTTTTTAAGAGTCTAAATCACACCTCACAGATCCCCGCACTCACCCATATGAGAGCCAGTCTGGTATAAGGGTTGAGGAGTTGAACTAAGAGGTTGGGAAACCTGGTTCAGCATCCCCCACTCTGCCCTAAAGCCGACTGCTGGTGCAGTCCTAAACAGATTTACGCTTTTCTAAGCCCAATAACTTCAGTGGACCTTAGAAGGGTGTACCTCCGGTTAGGGTTGCATTGGGAGTGACCTTGGGCTGGTCATAATGTCCTCTCTACCGAACCTACCTCACAGGGTTGTCGTGAGGATGAAATGAGGAAGGGGGAGCCTCATATGCCAACTTCAGGTCCTTGGAGGAAGGGCAGAATCAAAACACACTGGATGGACAGACCTGTCATTTGGCCTTCAGATTTTACTTTGGAAATTCCCCAGACTCCCCAGGAAGATTGCTATGTTTACATGAAGGTTGTTTTAATTTCTAAACTGAGAGGTGTTGTAAGTTTTATGTATTCATCGGCCCTCTTGTCCGACTGGAGGCCTTTTAGACCTAATCCCGTCATGACTGTGCGTGTGTGTGTGGTGATTGGGGGAGATGGGGTGTCTGGAAACATTCAAGAATTCGTCTTGTTAATTCTTTCTGCACACAATATTCTCTCTCTCTCCTTCTAGGATGTACAGTGCAGCTGAGGGAGACCGCACAACCCCCTCTCCCCCCAGCATTGGTAGCTGTCAGCAGCTTCTGTCCGGCAGCCATTTCCAACCCTTCTTACACGATCAGTACTCTCTCCCCCGAAGCCGCTTCTACAATAGGGAGCATGGCCCGCTCCCCCTGCAACCCAAGGATACCCACCACTGGTATTTTGCCTCACAACAGCCGCCAACCACCCCTCTAGAATACAGCACCTACGACGGTGACTACAGAGGGAACAAATTTATGCCCTACGGTGTGAAGCCATTTGCCCTGCAGGCTTCACCCCACACTTCGCTGTCCTACTACCAGGAGCACCCTTTTGGCCCTCCAACTGCTTGGAGTTCTCCAGCCCAGTGACCACCCCTCTAGAATACAGCACCTATGATGGTGACTACAGAGGGAACAAATTTATGTCCTACGGTGTGAAGCCGTTTGCCCTGCAGGCTTCACCCCACACTTCGCTGTCCTACTACCAGGAGCACCCTTTTGGCCCTCCAACTGCTTGGAGTTCTCCAGCCCAGTATCATCACCCCAAGCCGGCCCCGGGGGCGTTGAGCTGGTTCCGGCCCATGAGAGATTTGCAGCCAGCGCCCTCTGGTGACGAGAAAGGGAAGGACAGCGAAGGCTGGGCCGAGCCAGGTTCGGTGAAATCGGCCGATTCCTCGGACTCCGGGTTGTACGAAGCCGAGTGTAAGCGCCGCCGGATGTCTCCCTATGTCTCCAGTGCTGAAAGCTCACCCCCCATCCGCAATGGAGACCTCTACGACAAAGAAGGAGGCGACGCCGGTTACTATGGCTTCTATGGGAACTGAAGGGGAGCAGAGACACTTGAGGTTAAGGAGGGGCCTTTGAGACATCCAGTTCCCCTCAAGTCATATCAGTGGTACCAAGCAAAAAAATGGGACACCTTGGTTTGGGGAAGGTCTGCACCATCGTAGGCACTGCTTGGCCACAGATTTGTATACTGTCTAGACGAATTTCCCTCTCATGTGGCAACATCCAGGTGCTAGTTGTCCTGTGTTAAGCATGACCTTACACTGACATTTCTGAATAGAGATATGCAAGCCCGCACTGAACAGTGTGTATGGAACAGGGTTCTTGATTCCCCTCATATGTTTGTCCACAAGGGCATTTGGTCAGACCTACAGCATTACGAGAGCTTCCACTCGCACAGAAAAGTACAAAGGTCTTACTCCCGTGAGGTGTCTTCACGTCTGTGGTCCTTCCCTTGCTTAGCTTCGTGGCCAAACAAGAAGGGTAGAGCTGAAATGAAATTCCTCACAGATGTGAAATCTGAAAGTCCCACGCTTTTCAGATTTGACTTCTTACATTCATCTCGGTGTGATACATTTGAAGGCCGTAATGTATCCTTCCCATTTTCCAGTTAATTCACCCTGATCCAGATAAGGAGAGCTTTCTTACAGAAGGTTTCTTTTAGAGGAGATTCAATAAATTCATCAAGGATAGCTCTATGAATGGCTATGAGTCATGCTGGGAAAATACGACCTCCATGTTTTTTTCCATGTGCGGGTGGGGAGCTTGCCCTGGCTGTGAGCTTCCCTGAAGATTGTGGCTGTCCACTGTAGGAAAATAAGAAAACTGGACTATATATGTCTGCTCTGATGTATATTAACGTGGAAACAGGTTAGACAGGTTTCCAGAAATATACCATTTGTTGGACTGGGTGCCGCAACCATAAACAAATTGCAGAACTTCCTACTTATCTGAGTGCATCTCAGATAAGTAGGGTGCATCTATGTCGAATTGCTTTCCATTGGATGTGCATCTATTTGGATGTGCATCCCCCAGCCTCATTCCTGCAGCACGAGACACACAAGGACACCCTTGGTTGCATGCCACTAGGGCAGGATAAGGGCCAAGACCTTTACTTTCTTGGTTCCCAACCACCCCTTTCAAAATAGAATGGCGTACGTATTTGGAACTGTGGAAGGCCATTCCCATTAGCGACATCTGTTTGCAAATTTTTTTTTCCCCATTGCATTTCTGAGGCTTGATATCACACTCGAGGTGCCCTGGTCCAGAGCTGGATCGGGAGGCTGTTGGACTGGGAGCCTTGCCTATAAATCAGATGTGCATATGAATGTGCACCAATGTGCAGATGTGGTTTAGTCACACATAAACACCATTTTTATATGCAACTGCGGTTAGATCAGGACCAGGAAAAAAATATTTGTTTAAAAAAGATGCTATACCTCATCTCCCTTACTGACAAGCTTTTGGCTCATGCATAGATGATACACCAGATATTACAAAAAGCCTGTGATCGAGCTGGGTCTGGCAGAAAATTTCCACTGTAGGAAGGGGGCACTATTCCTCCTCCATTTCCTTCTCCTTTTGCAGACCTCTGACTCCCCCTACTGCTGTTCATGGAGGGGGGGGGGTTCCCCTGATCTTTCTGAAGCTCTATTTTGGAGGCATCTGGGGCTGCAAGGGGAGAAGGGAAGTTGCGTTCCGTCGATGGAACCCCCTTGATCAGTGGAGTTTTCCCACGGGAGCCAAGCCCCCCCCCCATATGTGCCTGCGGCAAGACAAAAACCTTTTGACTTATCCAGGGGGTGCTTGCTTCCCTCTAGCACAGTTCAGTCACCAGGTCGCCCTTTGAAAAGGTCAAGAAACCAGTCTCAAGAAGTATGATGGACTGTGTGAACAGGCATGGCTTGCAAACAAAGAGAGATTTCCGCCCATTCCTGCTACGAAATTCGTCTCC